GGTGGAAGGATCAAAGAAGGCAAACGCTTCCGACACCCCGCAGCGGCATGCTCTACGGGGATCTCACTCCACTTGCTTCACGGTCGCAATGGCCGCCGCTGATGGCGGCACATCGGCCTTCACCCCACCAAACACTTTGGTTCTCAGAAACCAATTCAGATTGACCATGTTTTTAGGAGTTTTGATGTTAAAAATCCAAAAGGTGGCCTGCCACAGCAGGAATGCTTGGTCTGGTGGCGCCGATACCACCTCCTGGGCCTCGACGAATACCGCGTCTTCCCCGCCCAGCTCTCCATTCACGATTATGGGATGGAAAGTTTTGCGGGCCTCCGTTGGCTTCCGTCGTCTCTTGGAGAATGCGCTGCAGGTTCTCCAGCTCATCCCCTGCAAAATGTTCATAACCAACTTATAGGTACACTTAACATTGCGTGGGAGAAAATGGAGGAGAAAGAATAGGAGAGAAGGAGGGAAAGAGTAAAGGAGAGAGAGAGAGAGAGAGAGAGAGAGGGGGGGAGGGAGGGAGGGAGGGAGGGGAGGGGAGGGGAGGGGAGGGGAGGGGAGAGACGAGAGGAGACAAGAGGAGAGGAGAGGAGAGGAGAGGAGAGGGGAGGGAGTGCGGAAGGAAGCAAGGAAAGATGGAAGGAAGAAATGATGGAGGAGAGGTAGGCGGATGTAACAAGGCGAACAAGACAAGACATGAACCTGATGAGTTGGCGCAGGGCACTGATAGGTACTACATTTCGGCACATGATGTGAAAATAATGTACAATGCCTCAGACTCAGCAGTCTGGAAAATGTAGGTACAAATTACACATGCATTAGTGAAGAAGTTTCTGCATTTAGATTAGAATGAATTGTTTTGAAAACATTAGACAATGCCTGTATCTTGAAAAAGGATTAGATTGGGCTGTGTCAGGACAAAACTGGGGATGAGTCACGTGAGCTCGCAAAGTTCCAAAGTTGTGCCAGGCAACTTCATGAGATCACACTGAAGGAGCTCCAGCGAATTATTTTCAGCATGCCCAGCTTGAGTGTGCAAAATGTACACTGGACTGGACCACTGTAGCAGGGGCGTCGCCGACGGGGGGGTCGGGGGGGTCGTGACCCCCCCACTCTTGAAAACTGGGGGTGTCGACCCCCCCACTTTTTGCGATGCTGAGTATGCTTTTTTAGCTTTTATGTCAGTGAAGCAGGCGTCAGCAACACCAACAAATACATTCAGAATCGCTTCAAGAGCTCCCTAAAGCCAATTAGCCAATTACCTGAAGTTCAATTAGCTATGGGCGGGGAACACCAGCACAACAATATTTTTAAGTAGCCACCATTCTAGTACCTTTTTATCCCTCAAAAGATTGGACGCGCCAAAACTGCCCCGAGCGTTCGTCTGATCGTTAAAAAAAAAATGGTCGCAGTCGATTCGTCGGATCAGTACCTAACTACAAAACTATACAAACTATAGCCTCAGCCCCATGGCTACCGTCACAACTAGCTGTACAGTGCACATGTAGGGGAAAGGGAGTCAGATGAAACCGTCTCGGGCTTTCGCAAAGAAGTCGCGCAAAAAGGAGCCGATTGCAACGAAACTTCCGGTGTGCTCGAGTTAATCACCTACTAAAAAATAAATCGATATCCCTGATTCAAATAAAGATGACCTTGGTTCACTTTTTCATAACATGCTTTTAATTTAGGTATAGGAAAGTTTTTGGAACTGATTTTGAACTTAGCGCCCATCTGAACATTTAAGAAGTAGTTGTGCTGCTTATACATATGTATCACATGTTAGGAAGCAATCGGTGGTGGTCATCCACTATTAGGTACTGGTCGATCTGACCTGACCTGATCTACCCCAAATGCATGGAGTCATCATCTTCGTTCAAAACTAAGATAACATTCGTAATCAGAACCTCGAAAAACCATCACAACTGACATTCGCAAAGTTCTAGCAGGTCCCGAGTTTCCCTACTTATTGGCGATGACCTGAGTCCTGAGATGACCCGAAACCTTGTAAATGGGTATCATCGGCTTTCTCTCGTCACGGGCAGCATGCTCTTTTTCCGCAAACCTCTAGATCGATCAGGGGTCGAAAGCATACCTCAGCGGTACTTTAGTATACGTTATACGTTAGCGACTGGGAACCCACCAATAGAAGGGCTACAGTGAAGCAGAAAACATATTCGATAGCTCTTTCAACGCTCTTTCGCTAGCTTCGCGTCAGATTTCATCTCAGGTCTATGTTTTGCCCATAGAAGGCAAACAGCTAGCTGGACAGATTCTGCCGAAACATTTGCTTTGCAATAACTTTAGATTCCGTGAATTTGTTTGGTATTTACATATGTTGTCTTGTCACCACCGTGTTTATTTCTTTGAGACGCGTCACATGAGTTAAAATTTGACCATTCAGAATTAACGTTAAAACGACCTCAGGTCAACGTTATGTCATGATCGAAAAAGGACCTCCTGCTGCATATGAATGGATCCGTGTTGTTGAGCTGAACAGTGAACACCTTCCAGGTGCTGTCATCGCTCTACCGCGTCTTCGTCAAAAGTTGTAGAAAAAATGCTGGTGGCCATCGATGGACATTTCCACTAATGACCTTTCGAGACATCACTCGCCATTAAAGTTGCACCCTGTCCCTGGCAATGATGAGCTGATTTGTCATGGCTCCAAAGATATTTTGCGTTTCTGACGAACTTTTTCAAAGCAGGAGGCATTCGTGCTTTTTCTAATTTCTCATTATTTTCTAATGATGAGGTCACGTATTTGACCTGCCTCCAGATCATAGATGCAAATCCTCAGAACAATGAATTGCTGATACGTATAACCCCATACATTAGGTATACAGTGTACCAAATTTCGAAGTTATGGGAGAAAAGCTACAAGAATGGCGAGAGGAGAAAGTTTGATAGAGGTATACCGTATAACTGAACTTGACATGGCGACCTGACCTTAAGTGACCAGTGATAATTTTTACGCAAGTGATATAGGTAGGTATACCTACCTAATAGGTTTTACCAAATTTCGCGGCGCTGCGCGCCGATTTGCTACACGCGCGCACACACACATACGCACGCACAAAACTGGGAAGTGTGGCAAAAAAAAAAAACACCCCTACCCATCGGGTGAAGACTAGAAACCCGACCCCCCCACTCAAAAATCCGTGGCGACGCCCCTGCACTGTAGTGTCTGAACGTGATGCACAAAACTGAATGTGACACACCAGCGACAAAACAAAACACTACAACCATCTATTGCAAAAACAATTCATACATACCTGCAGCTGTGTGTCCCTGCATCCTGGCCTGCTGTCTTGCATGAGCGATGCACATAACACAAATGTAGCTGTACTTAGTCCGCTTAATTCCAAAGAAGTTCATCATATCATTTTTTGATTGAGCGTTCCTCAACGTAGGACCATAGGTACCATTATCACGAGCTTCCTGAACAATACTGTGGTGACGGCGACGCCCACTGCTACAGCGAGGAGGTGGTGCTTTGATCAGATGAGCTGTGGAAAAACAGACACATTTGCAGTCACCACTTCTATTATTGTTCTATGAATCCATGACAAAGCCACTTAGAATGCAAGTATGAATAACCTAGCATAAGCCCAAATTTAACTTTTCATTAAAAACTAAAAGATATATCCTATTGGTCCCTGCTTGCACAGACAATTGACTGAATAAATGATATGGCCACACTGCAAACTTTTGCACAACCTGCCAGGCCATAACATTTCTAGCTACTGTGGGCAGTTAAATGTGCCTCTCTTATCAACAATTGCCTCAAACAACAAAATAGGCCTATTATTTACTTTAAGATAAACTAGAATCCTGTAAATAGCAATACATTTCGTAAATAATTAAAATATTATACCGCGGAAAGCATGGGCCATGATAGCCTACAAAATCATCATAAATTCTATCGCGATATTTCAACATTTATACCGACGCACATGAACGTTGAGGCTATTCAAATTTACAAACATGATCTAAATTATTTAAAAAATGCTAATTTTACCTGTAAGTACCAAATTACCAATAATTCGGCGCTAATTTCCGGCCTCACCCACACACCGGCAACACGACAAATGGCGGCGTGCTAACAGGCGACGGTGCCTTTTGGAAGAAATGTTTATTACGACCAATTTAAGACGTGTGTAAAATGAATGTTCAATTATTTATTGTTAAATTAGAAACGTAAAAAATGTGGATAAAAGAATAATATCCGCCTAAAAAGGGCTTTAAAAAATATCACTTTTCTGAAAAAGTTAGGCTAGCAGTTTATCTTTCGCCATATGAGCTAAAGTCCATATCCCACTGCTACCGGTCCATATCATTTCGGGAGAATAGAATATTGCGTTTCACCTGGTAAAAAATCGTGTCGAAATGGACATTATAACAATCGAAACGAAACACTTGAATAGTTCGGTGCACGAAAAGTAATCAAAATCTTGATTACAACTCCTTATATGGTCATGCCACGCCCCATTTTCATGACGTCATAATCATGAACTTGATTAATCAAGTTCTTGATTTCCTCCCCGTAGTTTGCCCAACTGAATTGAATTACCATGAGCGTTTTCACCGTTATTGGACAGCACTGCAGGCCGTCAAATCAAGTCTCCGTTTCACTTGCCTGCTAAACTCGTCACGTCCTACAGAGCAATACTGCGGACAACGTACGTCGTCGTTGTTAACCACATGCAGGTGCAGGTGAATGGGCAAGCGCTGGCTGCACAAGTGTCATTTACTCCGTACACAAAGTTTTACCTCAGTTAGTCAGACATACGATCACGGGCCAGTGAGGCTGCCAGAGATAGACCACACAGGCTGCAGGGCCCCGTCTGTGGGCTGCGAGTCTCCGTCTGTGGGCTGCGAGGTGCGAGTCTACATCTGTGTGCTCTGTGTCTATATCTCCTGGCTGTGTGTATCACAGACGTGGACGTGGACCGGGGGTGTCACGCGGTTGTCCTTACTGAGCTGTATGACTCCGTCCACAGGAGGCCGAGTCAGACGAGTCCCCGGAGCTGGAGTCACCCGACTCGGCCATCGGCGAGTCACGGGAACGTCCACCGCTCGCCTCCAGAGAGAGTGAGTCACACCCACACACCCCAACCCGCCCATTGACTTCGACTTGTGTGGGGTCGCATCTATGCTAGCTTTAATGAACTGCAATATAAACTCGAACATAGACCACTTCGTAGAACATGCACATTGTACACTGTGCAATTACATATGCATTTTACCCGTCGAAGTATTGTATGTTTATCCGAAAAAGGGAATTTCTACTCAGTTACTCCATGAAGCTTTTCGTTTTGCAGTGATAAGCTGAGTGTTTACGTTCTACGCGCCCTTGAGCAATTATATGCATGCTACGTTGATATTTAGAATAAAGGATGTCTCAGACAAGGTATGCAAGATCGATATGTGATCCGCCTTCAGTCCATGGCTAAGACGCTTTGTCACTCCCGTCCGGCGATGTCCACAGAACTGGAGGCCATGTCCTCGGCGGAGCTGAACGAACTGTACCTGGACCTGGAGCTGATGATCAAGGACTACTCCGAGGTTCTCATCAACGAGCTCGCCTTCAGGGACGAACTCGAGTACGAGAAGGAGCTCAAGGTTAGTCTGTCGCCACGGCCGACAGCCGTGGAAGTGATAGGAAGGTCAGAGCGTGATAGAGTGAGAGTAAGAGAAGACAGAGTGGTGAGAGAGTTGGACCTGCTGTTCAATGCGTGCCACTAGCGTGGAGTGGGGCAAGCCTGTTGCTGCGAGAGACGCTTTGCAAGGGTGTTCTCCCGCCTGGCAGGCGGGATATTTGTTTGATCTAGAAGGCCGTCTCCATGGTTGGATATTGTGTCTGGAGGGAATTATAACTCACAGAGATGTGTCCCTAGTTCTGCAATCTTTTTCGGGAGTGTATCAGTTTTGAAATATGGTCAGTGAGCCAGCAGACATTCCATGAGACTGTGTTATGACTCGAGCTGTGGTTATATTTCAGAACCAGTTCATTTCACTGCTGCTCACCATTCAGAACAAACGGAGACAGTATAATGTAGAGAAGAAGAAAAAGAACAAGAACGGCCAGACTCTGGACGCGAAGGTACGTTAAACTGTCTCCAGTGGGTCCCGGTGGACTTAATGTCTCTGCCTCCGCACAAGATAAAATCTCCGTTCTATTACCCGTTGTTGAAAGACCTCTAGTAGGAGGGTTTGTGAAACCAATAAGTCGTTGCTAATGTAAAGTGATCAGAGTTTCCTTTGTCTTATCTCGGTCACAGTACCTGGTAGCGACTGCGGTGGGTGTTGTGGAATGATACCCGGTGCTAGCTGCTCAGTGTCTGTGGCGTCGCGTCAGCTCACCGCCGTTTTACAGCCGCGGGCGGACACGCTCTGAATTGGTAATTGGACCTCGGCTCCAGGCCGTTGACTGTTCCAGGAGTTCGCCGGCCTCATTTCAGGCCCGGCAACGAGGGCGCTGGCGAGCGTCGAGTCGGTTTATGCCGTACTCGCATAATATGTTGTGTCGGTCACCGAAGAAACGTTTTATGTTTCGTGTCAGGATCAACTGTTAGCGTAATCGAACACAGCCTGTGAACATTAGCGCACAAAAGCCCGGTGACTTATGGAGCCCCTCCGCTGTTCTACCCCAACACTCGACTGAAACTTCATCACAATGAAGTTGTAGGAATTCCCGTGCACACGTGTTCCGTATGTGCGGCGCTGATCGAACTGTGTGTCTCTGATTGCAGTACCTGACGACGGTGATACCCTACACGGTGGGCACCCGCTGCCCCAACAACGCTACCCTCCAGATCCTCATCAAAAGTAAGCACAGACGACATGGGCGGAATGTTAGCGAGAAAATTAGGGATGGGGGGCCCGATCTCATGGGTTTTAGTATGGAGTCACAAAGTAACCAAGATTTCATACTGAGGTGTTTTTGCACTGCTCACTGCAGACAGTAATATGATTCACCTCACTAGGATTCTAGTATAATGCCAGCGATGAAGCACGGCTATGGACGATCACATCAGTTAATTCTTCTTGTTTAGAATCTCATGCTGACCTTGACCTTAAACTTGGTTACTGCTTGTATAGCTTTGTAATCTGACCGAAAGGTTCTTCCAAAGTTCATAATTTCCTTAGCTAGACCTGTGACGAGTCAGACACTGGGCCGGTGCTCCATCTCGCAACTTCGGCCCCATATTTCGTCTGTGTTTTATGACTACCTTCTGTGCCACGAGGGCTCCATAGCCCCCACTGGCGGTAGTCTGTTTATCATTCCCAGTCTGCTTCGCATTGCCACGCCGTTTGATATTGCCTCTTACCTCTGAACATGCGTCGTAGATGTAGGCAAGCGCTAAATTCCAATAGTTTTCGTCTCCACCCTCCCCATTCCATTGGATCTAGTCGGTATCTGATCCTGTGACGCCATGTTCCAAGTCTCACTCCCGTGTTCGCAGGTGTATGACCCCGCCCCGGTGCGTTTCAGTTTTGCGCGCCATTGACGAGGACAGTCCGACGGTACCCACCCTGCTGACCGACTACATTCTGAAGGGTAGGTGCCTCCTGGCCGGCCTGGTGCGCCGCGTGCGGGCCGCCCTGGCCTCGGCCCGGCCAGCGGACGGCCGCGCCGCGACGGAGACCCAACCTCGTCCCACTCCCGAGTAACGGGAAATGACTGACCTCCATCCTGTCCTGGAGATGGTCCCTTACGGCAGCGTGACATGGATCTTATAAGTTGAACTTAGTCACCGGACGGAGGGCTCTAAATTGAATTTTTAATTTGTGATGTTGGTAGAAGGCAATCACGTCAGCTCCTTTGGCACGGTGGGTGATTTTGACCGGGTCGGGTCGGTAGGCCCTGCATTAATCAATGCGCCCGAACCTAATAGCACGCCCTAATCTTCATCAGTCCATCGAGCTGCGGCCTCTCCGCTCCTGACATTTGGCTGGCTCTTTGGGGCATACTAACTGGGAATAAATGTATTCGGGGTAGAGTCGCGGTCCTGTCCGACTAACGCCCTAAGGCCTCGCTCGCGACTGCTGTCCAATCCTTCACATCGACCCAGGGAGCAAACAGACCCTGTTTGACCGTGTCTGCGCGATCCTCGCTGTGCCGATCGGATTATCTGTCTGGGTGGCGAACTCTTCCACGAGATATCAGTGCCCGTGCCGATGTACCGCCACTCGGCAGGGAGATGGAGGGATTCCTTTGTGCATCTTGTCCAAAGTTTTTACTACCCATCGATCCACTAATCCAGTCGACCTACTAGTGGTACCCGCTGTTCCTTTGTCCGCGTCGGTCGCCCGGCTGCGTGGCTTGGAGAGCGCGAAATGCGCGTAAGGGCTATATTTGGTGTGCTATTTTCCAGCCTTGCGATGAACTTGAACACATATCCATTTCTTGATGATAGTCATAAAAGAATATGAACTTATGTTTGCAGTCTCACCCCAGAAGCAAACTATTATTGTTCAGTAGATCATCAATACTTAATTATATGCAAGCTTTTCTTTAATTTCTTAAGTTTAATTATAATTAAAGCATGTTTATTGTTTGGGCATCGGTTCATCAGATGTCTTAACGCCTTGCCTCTCTGTCAGCCTGATCTCCAATGATAACGATATACATATCAATTTGAACGTAAAACTTGATGTGCTTGTTTGGTGCCATTGCCTGCATGTCCCATATTTCCAGCTGTCTGTGTGCGTAATTGATGCTAAATGGGTTATGGACGTGACAGCAAGTGAGGTTCTCTTGCCCTGCTGCTGTTCGCAGCAACTTGACCCAAATATCTCCCTATGAACAGGTGGAGGCTAAGCTATGTTCAAATAAGAACCGTTTTACTCGTACCGAGCCTCTGACTGAGCCAGTGAGACAGACTATCGAATGGGGTGCGTATACATCGTCTTACCACGGACAGTTTTTAAGGGACTCAGTTTGGAGCGTTTTCTCGCTGAGATGGCTCAGTCCGAGGCTCGGCTGCGGTAAGACCCGCTCCACATGTACCGAACGGCGCCAGTGGCGAGCCGTGCCATCGCTGCCTGCCCGGTGCGAGCCATGACGGCGCTGTGACGGCCGCTCCACCCCTGCCCTCTCTGTGCCGCCGACAGTGCTCTGTCCGACGTAGAGCGCGCGCCGCCGCCTCCACCGCCGCCGCCAGCACCGCCCACCGGCCGAGACGGGCTGTCCTCGCGCCGTCTATATTTTTGTGTGCGGGCGTGCCGGCGGCGGGCCGATTCTGGGCGCCCGCCGTCGACCCGGACCTGTGCAATATTGAGCCGGTGCCGCGACCGCCGGCCGGCCGGCCGTGGCTGCTGATCTGACCGCGTGGCGGCGCCACCGGAGCGACTGTCCAAATACACAGGTCACACACCGGCCCCGAGCGGGCGATGCATGCCGCTTCGTGGCTGAAGAGCACTGTCCGAGGCTAATCTCTGATGATATTCTCTTTGTAGTTATTTATTGGTTGTAGGATAGGTCAATTATCCCTAGGCGCCCACGCCTGGAGCTTGCACGAGTCACTAAGTAGACTCTGGGAGCGAGTGAGTCGATTGTGTTGGCGTCGTGAGTACCGGTCTGAGGTGAGGTCGGACGGTACGCGGCTGCGACTGTGCGCTTGGTTGGTTGGTTCCGTTTCTGTGATGACTGTGTTGCTGCCGGTGCGTGATACCAAAGAGATTCGCTGCGCGGCGGGACAGTCGGCCGGTGTCGGCCTGTGGAGCTCGCGGAGGTGTCCGCGGTACCGCGACCGCCCGCCTGCTCGGTGCTCTGCTGAGATTGTCTGACCGGCCCGGCCCGCTGGAAGGAGAGATTATGTGAACGCGTCTGAGTTATGTCTGTTGTACTCGCGTCGGTCTGTCGCCGCGGTCTGTGCGTTTGTGTTTAGATCTGGGTCGGGACGGACCGAGTCCTCCCGTGCTGCCTCTCTTGTCCCCCACCGGCCAGCCTGTCGGTCCTCCGCCACCCGCCGCGGCCGTCGCTCCTACACTGAGCAGCGGCGGTGTCTGAAGCTAGCCGAACCCGCGCACACCGCGGGCCTCGTGCGGCGTTTCTGGTGTCTACAGCCAGTCCGTGCCGGAGTGAGATGTAGACGGCCATTGAGTAACGTCTCCGCCGCTGCTGTCTGTCTCAGCGCCAAGAGGGGGCGCTGTGCCCTCGCCGTGGTGGCCGGCCGCGGGGAGGGTGGAAGCGTCGCACCCCACCCGCTATCCGGACCACTGACTGTCGCTGTCACTCCGCTGACAAATACACTCCCCGCTTCTGAAACTTTGTGTGTAACGTGTGTCTTCAGGTGAAGGGAGCTGTGGTCAGGATTAGTTTCGGCTTTGTGAAAGTTCGTGTTTTGTGATTAGGTTTGTCTGGATCGCCTGTAGACCGTTCAACGGCCCCTGTGGTTTCTAACGTTAGTCAGCGGCGGGAACACTCCAAGGTTCCCTGTCTCCGGAATCTCCTCAGAAGTCTCGCTCTAGCATGACAAAGTAACGGGGATTCAGCAGATTTCCCCTCTCAGGAAAACTGGACGAAACGATGGGTACTCGGGCATAATACATGTCAAACTGGTGAGCAGACCACAAATGAACTGTTAATCGGCCACAGTCGGTTGGCGCCATCCTTGTGGGGCCTCTGATGCCGGTAAATTGTAGTGCGCAGAACATTGTAATTACATAACCTCTGTTGGACCCTGCACACTCGACTTGCGCGTGTCAGCTAAACGACTTACAGATGGATCACGTCTGTCTGAGCTGGGCACCAGCCAGCGTGATAGCTAATTCTGATTGAACTATACTACGTTTTGACGATGTACTTCGTCCAGATATGAAACAACACTCCATACTGAGATGTCCCCAGACTCGCGAACCACTCATTTTTCCTTTCAAAGTGAACGATAGAAAAAGATCACGGGCACAGTCGTTAGTTTTTCGTTGCGTTTTGTTGATCGGCCGTGGCGTGGAGCATGCTATCACCCACGGGTGTGCCACCTAATGATCCCAGCTGCCATGTTGTGGTGTAGGTATTCTGTGATAGCCACAGGAAGTTCGACGCCTGGAGACAGTGTTGCGTCGTCGGCGGAGGATGCGACTCCAGTCCACACCCGGGGGACGTTGGGGCACGCCGGAGAGACGCCGGCAAAACCATCACTGTCGGCACAGACGGCCCTTGGGTGACAGTTGTCCGGTCACAACAGTGGGTGGTGAAGGCGGCACTTCGTAGCGTCGCAGAAGCCCCGGGACGGTTTGGAAGTCAGCGGTGTCGGGGAGAGAGGGAGTTTCAGTGACAAGGGCGACGTCTTCACCGACCGCTGTTGTCTGCAACAGAGGGGAGCGATTCTCCGGAGGTCGTGCATAAACCTTGTCTGAATCTGAAGAAGGCTCTTATGGCAGCCAAGTCTCCAGCATCCGCTGAGAAATCTCCAGAGTGTGAGACCGAGTCTCCCCTGGGACTGGCAGAACGCGGAGAAGCTGGCCCGGGCAGCTGCGCGCGCGACACCGCATCCAAAAGGAATAGTTCGAAGACGGGCGGGGCCAGCAGGGAAAGATGCGTCAGGATGTACTTGGTCGGTGCTTATGTGCTACCGCTGACAGTGTTTATCATCCTAATGATCGCAGGTGAGTGGACCGTGGATGAAGCATTAACCCTCGCATGTGTGCGGCGTTTTCCAGCTTCTAATGTGTAGGGGGGGGGGGGGTCGGTTGGACACCCCCTTGCCGTTTGGCCCCTGATTGAGCTAGAGCTTCGCGGAAAAAACGAGCGTGTTGCCCGTGACGAGAGGAAGCCGAAGATACCCAATTTTAAGGTCCTAGGTCATTGGTTGACCTTCCAGGTCAGGTCAATGACCCAAAGTCGGGAAAATCGGGACCTATTAGAAAGTCGTAAAGTGTGGCTGCTAAGGGGTTTTTCGGGGTGCTGATCACGAATATCGTGTTAGTTTTGATCACAGATGATGTCTTTAACCCGCGCCCCAGTGGCGGTCTCAGCCAACTTCGCCCTAGTGAGGGGGGGCATATGTTACCACCCACCTCTAACTCAAAAACTAAGAGGGATAGAAAGACGCGGTAAAAAGCAGTCGATAGCTCTCAATGCGTACGTTTGAAAGTATTTCGGCCATTTTTCATCTTAGAGCAATATTGGGGTCACCAGAGGTCATCAAAGGTCAAAATTTGCCAATGGTCATTATATTTTTCAGAAAACATGCGGTTATCTCAGGAACTATGGTAGCTAGAAAAACGCATGGAACAGCAATCGATAGCTTTTAAACTCTTCTTTTGATAAGGTCATTATCAAAATTGACCTCAGGTCAACGGTTTAGCCTCCAGAGGGCAAAAACTCCAAAAATAGCTGTTTTTACGAAAAGTGTTTTTCGACAATAACTTTCGACTACAAAAAGCCACGACATTTCTATTGCCAGAATCGTGTTCCTCTCGCCGAGACGCGTCGAATGAACTATAATTTGACCTTGAAAGGTCAACTTGAAAATTTGACCTCAGGTCAAGGTCATGACCTGACCGGAAAAGGTCATGTTGCATATCAGTCGATGTGTCTCGGCAAGACAAACACAATGAGACCATCCCCAGCGTTCTATCTCTTTCCAATCTTGAGTTATTGGCAAAAAACTGTTTGTAGCCTCAAATGACCTCGGATGACCTTTCTAGAGGCTATCAGCAAAAATGACACCTTTGTCATCACGGGTGGTCCAAATCATTGTGATTCTGAAATATTTGGACTGTTCCTATGCGTACAAACGGATCTAGAGGCATTTTCATTTTTCTCCATTGACTTGTAATGGAAAGGTCACGCCACTGACCTGACCTTAGGTCACGGATATAAAAAATCCGAGATATACAAATTGTAGGCGCCCATAACATCATCCAATCCACCAAGTTTAAAACCTTTCTGACAAACACTGCTGGCTGGACATGATTGCAAACTTTTTTTAGGCTTGGTCAGTTAACTTGACCTGGTGACCTGACCTGACATGACCTGGGGTCAAAAATTTCACACATTGTCCAAAATTGATGTACCAAAAGCTACCCCAAGCGGCGCGGCGCTACGCGCCGCGGTTTTTTATTTACACGCAAAAAACGCGACAGGGTGGTAACATATGCCCCCCCCCACTGGGGCGAAGGTTAAGCATTTAGACCAAGTCGGGTCAGGTCAGGTCAGGTCAACCAGTAGGCGTCGTGACGGGTATTCGTAGTACGTGTCAACCGCCTCTGACAGCTTCGTAACATGTTACGAAAGCACCAAAACTACTTCGATAATGTTCAAATGGTTGCTAAATTCGAATTCAGCTCCAAAAACTAGCCTAGAAACATGTAAAACTCGAAAAAGTGAACCGAGGTCACCCGAGGTCACCAAAGGTCAATGACCTGACCTGACCTTCAGGTGACCTTGACACCCACCCTAATGCATGGGAGCAACATCAAATCACTTGTTTGAACGTTTGAAACCACGAAAAGCTTGCAAACGCGCGGCTAATGCGAGCCGACCTACGCCGAATCGCGATTCCGGCCAAACATGGTCTCGGAAAAGAGGTCACAGGTCAAAGGTCATTTGGGTCAGGGTCATGAAATTTTCAGGGTAGGTGTAAAATTGATCAATGCGAGGGTACTGAAAGTTTCGTCGCGATCGGCCGCTTTTTACGCGAGTTATTCGCGAAAAACCATGGGGGGGGGGTCCATCCGACCCCCCCCCCCCTCCCTACACATGCGAGGGTTAATTAACCTAAGGCACGGCTACGTACTATGCTTTTCAGACCCCATGAGACCCTAATTTTCGGCGATAATTTATTTACTATTTGTCCAATTTGCTTCAAATTTTCACAATGCACATTTCAGCTCAAGCGCCAATTTTCGTCAATATGGTCTCTTAATAAAATATCAAATTTTAAGGTACTTGTCGTTGCCTCGTAATGTTAAAATCGACTCCGTAAATCCGTCAGTGGAGTAGAGGCTATCCGTGCGTAGGTGTGACGTCACAACCACGTGACCATTAAGCTCCGCCCTCCCGGCGGACGGGGTAGTGACCTTGGCCGGTCAGTCGGCTGCGTGGAGCGGGCGGGGCAGTAGCTGTCGCACCGGGGCGGCTCGCATGGACCGTAGCTGCAGTGCAGTTGTCGTTGCAGCCGTAACTTCATCGAATGAGCTAAATAGCGCGCATAAGTAACGCACCAGCTGAAGCCCTCGACTAATTGTATCTATCACAAATGTTTTCTCTGTTCAGTCACAAAAAATATATATTTCCACACAAGATTCGGGGCTTGTGAAAAAAAACGCGTATAAAAGACGCTGTTGATTTTAAATGATTGCGTAAGATTATGTATCGCGTCAGACTACGTCAAAATTGCAAAACAGAATCACCATTAACATGATGCAATTTATGCGTTTGATATATGAAATTTGTTTAGGAATGTATGCCGGCGTGATCGATTTATATCATCCCGGTGCAACTGAGCATTGAACACCTTCAGGACTAATCCATTTGATCATCGACTTAGGTTGAGGAGGTCGCCAGACTAACTTTGCCCCCAGAGCTTGTGTGTTGAAATGCAAACATGAAAAGTAAAAGCCTAGAGATAGTTTCCTCACCATTGAGGACATACCTACAGTTACTGAAGTTTTACAAAAAAAAAGATACGAGTTTATTGATTATCGTTCTCGTGTAGTGCCCAACGTCCGCCTGCCACATTGCTATTTCTTTTTGTGCACGTCTTAACAATATATGTAACACACACATGACACCGCGATAAAGGCCATTTCTTCCATACGACACATTACGCTTCTGCCCCACCCGGCGCCCCGCACCGCTTCACGAATCACGAATACGGTCGTTTCGCTGGAGCGATGCCCCTGGCAATCGGCCGTGCCCGAGACTGTTCATCCTACTTTGTTGCTTTCTGCGCCTTCCTCAGAAACATTTATTGGCACTGCCAAATATATCAATATTTTTGGGTCAAGCAGAGGCTTACACATGATCTTATAGGTAATCGGGTAGTGACCTGACCCAACCTGACGATGAGATAGGTGCAACTTCGGCTTAAATAAATGTTCAGAGTCCAAGAGTCTATCCATCTTTCCTTTTACGGCCGGTTCCGTTCCAATAGATCCTACCTTGATTCTGATCATTCTGAATATTCTGAGCTGGTTCGACGTTTAAATACCAAAATAAGGTGAAGAGGATACCAAATGCCCTCAAAGTTCAAACGGATAATTTTGTTTGGCTTTCGTCCCGAAACAACTTTGCCAGCTTCACTTGTCCTCAGTATGTGG